CGGCCGGTGCAGGGCTGGCGCAAGGGGCTGCACGCCTGCTCGCGGGCTCCTGCGGCCGGGCAGGACGGGCCTCGTGGCCACCGGCCACCAGCTCCAGTCTGCTGTCCAGGGAGGGTCAGTAATGCAAACTCATTTTGGAATTACTGTTTTGGGGGGAACTTTTGCAAAGAAGGTGCAATGATGTGCCACAGAGGAGGGGAGCCCATCACGGCAAGCACAGTCCTGCCCCCAGCCCCAGGTTTCCCGGGACCCTTTGGTCGGCACCTTGTACCGACCTGAGCTCTTCCCTGCCTGTGCTGACCTCAGTGATTTTCCTCGGTGCAGGAAACTTGACTGTGTCATTTGTAGCAGAGGGGGGCTGTAGTCACGCCCCCCCCCCCAGAGAAAGCTGAAGAAGGCACAAGTAGATGCCTAGGACAAATACAGATACCAGCTGGCGCCTGGAGGAGTGCTTGAGGGACTGTTTCCACTCAGGGTTTCCAGACTCTGGTTTTTTGGTGTTTGTCCCTAGATGTCTTCCAGCTATTTATTCAGTCCTCTCCTGAACCATGTTATCTTCTCGACCCCACGTCACAGGTCTGCAGCCCTTTCACAGAGAACCGTCTCCCGTTGCTGGCTGCAGACCTGGTTCTTGCTGCCTTCCTGTGATGCCCCAGTTCCTTTATTGGCGGGGACGGTGAACAGTCTATTGCTACCTGCTTGCTCCATGTCACGCATGATTTGGTAGGCCACAGTCATATCTCCTCTCGGTTAGTTCCTTCATCAGGTTCCCCCCTACACACCAAGCCCCAAAGCCAGTGCCTGTAGCTCTTGTTTTAGGGACCCTGGACTGACTGCTCCTATTTCTTTGGGCTGAAGGATTCATGCTTGAAGGTTCCTGGCTTTAGCCAGCAGACTGTGATGCAGCTTTCAGAAGCCCCCTTGTTCCAGCACGCCAGCAAGGCAGCAGAGCTGTGAAGTTTTTGCACGGTTTATCCCATGAATAAATCAGTGCGTTGCTCTCTCCAGCTGAATTGCTGCAGACAGGGTTGCTGATGTTTGCTTTCTCTGACTGCTTCTATCCTGAGGCTTCATTGGGTTAGACCAGACATCAATAGAGCTAGTCTATTAAAATGACTTTGATACCAGCTCTTCTTCAGCCCCCTTCCATTGCAGAGAGGACTCAGCCCTGCCAGAACAGGCTGAAAGCGGTCACCCGCAGCTCTCCATCACACGCAGAATTTGCAGGGGAGATTAATAATACCAACATGCAAGGCTGACTTCACTCCTGGACCTTGGTCCCAGTGACACAAGGGTCTTCAGCCCTGTGCTGCCTCAGTGGGGCACTGCCCAAGGGCGCACAGGAAAGCCGTTCCTGGAGAAAGGCTTAGCCCTGGCAGCAGCCCCTCGGCTGCATCTCCTGCCCGTCGGCTCCCCTGGCCCCGGAGGGGCTCACGCCGCTGCAGCACTTGGCCGTCAGGATCGCCGGGCGCC